AGTATTATTTGAAGTTAAGTAACTAATAGAGACATTTTTAAGTATTTTATGAGTTACATATGCAGTTGACAGACTGATCTCACAACTAATTTTAGGACAGTTTTTGCTCACTGAGCAAAGCAACAAACTGCAGTTTTACTAATTTAGCTGCCAACATCCAAAGCATGGGTGTTTCTGCAAGGTGGTAACCTCAAAACTTAAAGCGTTACATGAAAATCTTCTAAATCTTCAAACTAAAGTGAAGATTAAACTCTAACTAGTCTTTCTGTTAACTTTAAACACCTAAGATTAGTTTTAGGTCAACATTTCACTCTCTTAATTCAATACTATGCAAAGCATGCTGGCAACTACAAATCCCCTAACCAGGTAGTTGGACCAATACAATTCCTTCATGTTGTCCCAACACAAAACGCTTAAGTTAACTTAATTATTTACAAATTTAAGTGGACTGAACATAAAACAAATAAATTGGCCAAAGAAATTATGAGAATTGTGTTGTTTTGTCTCATTTTAAATGGGTAGTTTGAACAAGCAGCAGTAATCTCTTTTTTTTTTGAGTGCACGGTCAATTTAGCTTATTCAATTCACCTGTACCACATGTCTTTGAACTGTAGGGAAAACCGGAGCACCCGGAGAAAACCCATGCAAACACGAAGAGAACATGCAAACTCCACACAGAAATGCCAACTGACCCAGCCGGGACTAGAACCAGCGATTTTCTTGCTGTGAGGTGATCCACTGAGCCACCGTGTCACCGCAAATAAAGCACAGAATATTTTAAATATTTCTCACTCAGTTTCACTATGTATGTCCATTATGTGTAGTCCAACTTCCATTCTTTTGAATGGATGTTTTCTAAACCAGAAGTGCGACCCTTAACATGAAACATAATGGAGAAAATAGTGGATAACAATATGCAAAGACATCGTAAATATTCATTTCCATCATCAATACAATAACTAAAAGTGTTATGAATCAGCCTGGAAGAGAATCTCGTCCAAATGCACTGTTAGGAGGAAGTGGACAAAAAAATCTACAAAAGTCATAACTGGAGAACCGCAAACCTTAGTTTAGCATTGGAGTCAGAAAGTCTCCAAAACTATAATCTGACACCAACAACTTCACAAAAACCGTCAATTGTTTTAAAGATTTCTGAGGGGGAAAAAGTCGATACTCTCATCCAGAATCTCATGCATCTTTAGTCTTTTAAATATTTTGAGCAAAAGGTTTATTTTATTTTTCATAGCTTTACTTATTCTATATACTTTATATTTAGCAGGGATGCTGATATTAATGGAGGGCTCTGTAGGTGACGGGTGCGGTGTGTGATTTCAGATGCCAAGCAGGCAGGCATCACTTTCACCATGATCTGACGTGCGTGTGTCACCGCGACTCATTCATGCCACCAGAATATAAGTACACACAAACACACACACAGAGCGAATGAGTCAGAATCATATGATCTGCAGTTGCCATAGCAACAGATCCCAGCAGTGGCCCTGGCGAGGTGAGTCACATGAGAAGGGTGAGGAGCTCTGTGTGCTCCATCAGAGAGAGCCAGAGCCTCGTGATTCACACACACACACACATACAAACTCGCTCACTGCAGGGTTGAGGATGCTCCAGTGTGCTCAGAGCTACAGGCTTCGGCACAGAGAGGGAATTGCTGGAGACTACAGGGCTATTTTTAGCTGTGTTTGTTCACGTCTGTATGCAGCATCCTGGTGTCTAAGACATCTGTGGAAGGAGAGATGCTCAAATCCTCACCGAGCGTTTACCTATGAGTACGTCTGAAGGCCACGTGGGGTATGACGAGGCCCACAGCGAATCTACGCCCATCTGTAGATTTCCACAGAGCAGGAATGTCGTGTTTATTAACCCTTTGATGTTCAATCCTCAAAGGCAGCCAATTAAATATGCATTTTCTTTAAGTTCTTATTGTACACATCTAAAAATAACCTCAGGCATTATTTCTACATTTATGTTGCTATCTTGCATATAAAACTACCATACATTTGGCAAAATGTTTGTTTATATTTTTTTAAACAATATAGCTGTAAACCAGTAAGCATTTTTTTTTTTGTATTTAAACAATGTCTGATAGACATCTAAAAATAGTTGTCTTGGCTAAAACAAGGCTATTTGACGACTAGTCTAGTTTTGGCCTATTCTTAGGTGTCTATTAGATTTTCACTGACAGCCGAAGTTTAGCCTTGTTTTAGAAGAGCTGTCTTTGTTTAGATGTCTATTAGACATCTATTAAACACAAAATTGCTTGCTGGAAACTTTGTTAATAGTACTTGGAAGCATGTCATAATCATCAAGGTACACACGAGTAATATGTATTTACATATAAATAATGTGCTTCCGTATATTGGTATTTTGTGGTCAATGTAATATCCAGGTCATTGTCAGTGATTTTAATTAATAAAATACTTTTCAAGAAATGCATCATATTTCAGAAAACTGTATTTAAAAATTTTAAAACAGAAAGATTTAGTTGTGCAAACATTTCAAAGATTTAATGCTTCACTTCTAAATAGTTGCAAATTTTCAGTAGTTTTGTAACTATAGAACGTTGAAAATACAAGTAGGGCATTCTGCTTAAATGAGTGCATGTTAAATTCAGCCACTTCTTTGCATTTATTTGTCAAATGTAAACTCTTATACTGAACTGATGTTATACTGGTATACTGATGTTTCTAAAACAATTTATATTATACAGTTGAAAAAATTATTAGCCCCTGTTTATTTTTTTCCCAATTTCTGTTTAACTGAGAAAAGATTTTTCCAACACATTTCTAAACATAATAGTTTTAATGACTCATTTCTAATAACTGATTTATTTAATCTTTGCCATGTTGACAGTAAATCATTATTTACTAGATATTTTTAAGACACTTCTATACAGCTTAAAGTGACATTTAAAGGCTTACCTAGGTAAATTAGGGTAACTAGGCAGGTTAGGGTAATTAGGCAAGATATTAAATAAGTATGGTTTGTTCTGTAGACTATCAAAAAATATATAGCTTAAAGGGGCTAATAAATAATGTTTTTTTTTCTAGCTGAAATAAAACAAATAAGACTTTCTCCAGAAGTAAAAATATTATCATACATACTGTAAAAATTTCCTGAACCTGTTAAACATCATTTGGGAAATATAAAAGAAAATAAAGACATACTCTGACTTCAACTGTATATAAAGTAGCAAGTTTTGATGATCAATTCCAAATATTTTCTAATAAAACACAAATTACCATTAGTGCAATATATATATATATATATATATATATATATATATATATATATATATATATATATATATATATATATATATACACACATACATATATATATATAAATAATTCCATTTTTTTATAATTGTAAAAAATACAATTCTATAAATTAATTTAAAGATTCTAATAATGTTTATCAGCAAAAACAAAATAACAAAACACAAATAATACCATGGCCTATTAAAAATAAATAGTTGGTCTGTGCAAGAAAATTTATATTAATTTCTACAATTTTACTTTTAATACACAACTTCAACAAACAATCCAGCGCACATTTATGAATATTTGGAGCATGACACTGCTGTCACATGAAATTAGAAGTATCCCATTAATTATGCTTCCAGCAACTAATAAGAGCAGTTTTTTTTATAATAATGACTTCTACAGATTTAACATTAGTATAGTGCATGTGGAAAAACACATCAATACTGGACATTTGGCACTATGAAAATCCAGGTGGTGTTTCTGAAAGTTCATCTGGCTCCCTTTAAAGTCTCTCTTTGGTGTCAGACACCCGGTTGCTTCTCTGGGCCACATCTGCTGATGTGAGTCGAACACACACTCACACATAAACAAACACACATCCGGCTTATGTGCTACCTGTTTGTTTTCCCAGGCTCAAAAGCGGTAGCCGCAGATGAACAGCTCTGTCTGGGCAATGATCTCCCACCCACAGGACTAAACATTCAGAGTCGAGAATTGAGCCATTACCCTTCAGGATTGTGCCTTTTTAAATAGTTTTTTGATCACAAGAATCGTTGGACTCAAAAAAATCTTAAAGAACTGATTTACTTTATTATTGGTAAAAACAAATAAATAAAGTATTTTACACTTTAAGGGATGCTTTCTAAATCTTTAGAGGCCTGCAGACGTGTGACTAATGGGATGCCTTTATAAAACATCTGCTGAAGACATTAATCAGCCATCTGCGATATCCATCTCAATTCACACAGCAAAATTGAAAAGAAACTCAATTGAGCCAGACCAGCCAGAACCAAGGACAATATAAATCCTCCAATGTCAAGAAGAAGAATGAGCTAGACACAATCAGACTCATCCGCATGTGAGAAGAAATAGCCTTTCTGATGGTGCACACTGACATTTCTGGAAGGAGAAAAAGCATCAATAGAGCTCTAGATTTTAACCAGTGTCATTTCTCACCACTTTGACGGGTTTATAATGGAGTTTATTGATCTGATGGGAAACAAGCTTATGTCGAACTAAATAAGACATAATCATACACCCCTGGACACTTCAGGACAGCTTTTCAAAGACAGGACGTTGAGAATTTACTTTGCAGTCGCCAAAAGGTATTTCATCAGAATTTGGACGGGATGGGATGCGCACATTACGCGCTTGCTGACGTACGAACGCGTTCGTGACTCATGCGCACACCTATAGTAATTCACTCTCTGCTGCCAATCGCGTAAAGGAGACATAAGTTGCGCTTTGAATTTTAACCGCTGGAGGACAAATCAAAGAGTGGGTTGGTTAGAAGCCTTATCGCGGACAACGCCCACGGATGTGTCAGCGTGACCCCAAAGTTACTATTTTGGGCTGACGGAGAACACACAATAGTGCCTGGTGGGCTTTGCGTCAGGCGGCGCGCTCACTCACTCTGCGCATTTCTGGACAGGTTCAGTCGTGAGCGCGGAAACGGCACATCAACTGTCTCAACCAGGAATCATTCTATGGGAGCCGTCAAACTGATTCTACGTGTTAATAACAGTCCTCGAGATCTGTATGAGCACATCTGTATTTGAATCCGATCAGTTAGGTGAGTGATTTTGGTTTCTCTTCTTCTAGCATCCGTGATGATGGAAGACGCGATACATTTTTCATCGATGATTGCGTTGTGCCAACTTGCTTGGTATTCCAGTCATGTTTAGAGCGTTTTGTCACGCTGCGCGAGGTTTGTGTCGATAATTCACACCAGCAATTACTAGTCAGTTGTTTGTCATTTACAAGGTTTGTCGTGTTATCAGACGCGCGTCAGTTTTAGCTCAGCGTGACACAAATATTTGACCTTGAGGATGCTGCTCGACGCGTGGTACCCTTTACATACCTGACAACATGAAGCCCCGCGGGGTCCACGTGTTTGTGTTTTTAAACTATCGTAAGCGTTTTGCTCGTGTCCATTTGTGTTGAAATATTAGTGAATGAGGGAGGGTACAGGTGAATGCTATCTCAATGTCCGTGACTGCAGCAGGCGCATCCTCAGGTGATGCTGGCTGGAGCCGTTACTCCAACTTGACGAACATCACGTGATTTAATTACGCTACTCGTTTTCATTTGTGTGCGGTAAAGAATTAGGTTTTAAAAGTAATTATATAAAGGTATTCATTTGGTATAGCATAACATAAGGCAATACAGTAGAAGTTTGCATCAAGACGTAGTTGATTTGTGGGTTCTGGATGTCTGAAGGCATTAATACTGACTCAAATGTTGACTTTTTACTCAATACATGAAATGGCTAATCCACGACGCTTCATTTTTATTGGACTGTATTTGCACAGTAAAGCGCTTTTTAATCAACAGCATTTTTATTATCGTTTACTCATTTAACAAATGGCTTTGGGATTGTCGACTTGGTTAAACACAGCAACAAAATGAATTTGAATATATTTCTAAAACTAACGATATTGTACCATAGCCCTTTTACTGTTCAACACCCCATCTGTTTGTGCCAATGTCTGTCTTGGCTTCCATGTCAACAGATTGCTTTGCTTCTCATGAAAAAATTCTACAGCCAAAAACAAAAAACAAAAAAAACAAATGCAATCTTAAGATGGATTTAATCAGTCAGAATTGTGTTGAAGCTTGACTCATAAAAACTTAAAAGTCAACAGAACACTCATAAGGAAAAGCTAATCTCTTCTGGCCTAACTTCTTATTTGCATTTTGATGTTTTTGTTCTGTAAAGCAACTTTTGACATTACACAAACATTTGAAAACTCTGTTATACTAAAAATACTAAAACACAGTATTCATATAATAAAGTATATATGTAAAATGAATACATAATTAACACAGTTTTATTTATTAAAGTCCTCAAAATTTACAGTGTCTGTTTTACTAGAGCACATTGTTATTATTTAAGTAAACAATTAATCTGTGTACTTTAATCCACTGAATAAAAATGTTTGTTTTGGTAATCTTCAATCAAAGTCTGACCATTTGCTTCCCCGTTTGGAGTGGTGATCCTTCTCTGCTGACATCAGTTTGACAGCTTCAGTCACAATATTCTTAACCCCGCCCCTCTTACTGTTAGTTTGCTATGAGGGAATGATGCGAAAAAAGTAAGCCCCATCCCTTATTCAGTATTCTGTTTCAGTTGGAAGTACATCAACATACTAAAATAAAGGTTTTAACAACTTCTGACCTTAAAATAGGATCCATTTCCTTCCCATTCTGAGGCTGACCAAAACGTGATGTAGGAGTGCGGTTTCCTCGTCTTACCAAAATGATTGTCAGCCGCATATTAATATGTCTCCGTAGTGTGTGAATGATTATATCAACAAGACAGGGCGTGCACAAAGCAACTAGGATTAAAAGATCTGTTCAGCTCTCTGTGATCATCAATCATTATCAAATGTGATCAAAAATTAGTTTTAAAAGTTTAAAATGTTTTTAAATCAGTGCATGTTTTTTAATGAAATACAGACATTTCACCGTCTTTACTTCATCACCACAGCACTGTGTCAGTACAATTATAAAAGAAAATGATTCGATGCCGGTTTATGGATGTTAAATCAGGTTTATTTAGTACATTAACATAGCAGATATTCATACAGCAGTGGATATTAATGTGTATCCTGTCATATTTACCGTGCCAAAACAGTGCAAAGTTAAACATGCACTTTGTAACGACATTGTGTGTGACTCTTTGTTGCAACCCCACAACATGTACATCAAAAAATCATTGGGAAAGTTCTTACTGTAGTAATTCTCACAAACGTTATGTGAGATCTGCTTCCTTCATGTCGGTCACTGTGCTGTTTATCTGACGCAGCCAAGGCGGATATTGAGGCACACTCTGACAGGCACATTGGAATGGTGGGTGGGGAGAATCAGCATTAAAGACACAGGCAACAAAAACAGCTACAATGTGTTCAGAGCAGAAAATTCCAATGTGATGGGTGTTTAGAGCTGAAACTTTACAGACACATTCTGGAGACACAAAAAAACGCATCTTAAATCCTGTTAAAGGGGTAAAATAGGTGCTCTTTAAATAAAACAGTAATATATACTATGAATAGTAGGTTGTTTTAAAGCAAATTTAAGAAAAAATGGACAAACTAAATCATCGGATTAAGTTTTTAATAAAAAAATGTTAACCCAGTTTTTGTTTTGGGTTGAATCAACCCAGTATTTTTAGAAAGCATACTATTCATTTTAAGTTTTACTAAAAATCAAATAATAAAATGCACTGAAGAACATCTAGTTAATTTCCCAAATGTCTTTTTTTTTGTGTCAACCACCCAGAGAGGCTTATATAATCTCTGACACCAGTTTGTTTTTCTTTATTTTGTTCTGGCAATGTGTGGGCAAATTTTTTCTTCACAGTATATGCTCACTTAAGCAATTATCGTAGTGAAAAAATTACAGTAATGTAAAAATAAACAATGACACACATACAGAGAGAGAGAGAGAGAGAGAGAGAGAGAGAGAGTGTGAGAGAGAGAGACAGAAAGAGTACTATTCATATTCTTCTTCAAATTAAAATATTCTAAAAGATGAGAGATTGTCTGTCCGCATAATTCCCATGATTATCTTTGCAACAGTCCAAAATCGAGTTCACATCATCACCATGTCATTTTAGCCATTTTCTGAATAGTAAATATGGTATGGAGAGACTGCTTGCTAAATTTGAACTGTGATTCTCATGATCCGTCTTGTGTATTTTAAAATTTGGAGTAGTGAACAGACGAGCTGCCACTCACTGTTCTCATATAGTGAGCATGCAGGTTCACAGGAAGCAGAGATGTGAGAATTTCATCAAGCACCATTGCCTAGCAACCCGGACAGATAAAATATGTGCATTTCACATTATAATGTGCCGTTGGCTCACCAGGATATTTATCTATATGGACTATTACTAATAAAGAAATGATCTGATCTGCATTATATATTATAATCATGGCTAAAATGGTGAAAATGTAACCACCAGCAGAGAGGCTCGTATTTGCTTGTGTTTGTTGAATTCCTCGGCATCAGCTGACTGAGCACGTTCACTGCATTATGAGTGATCAGCGCCCTTGTGCTTAATACACAGCAAATTGGGACTGACTGAGCACAGGGTGAGCAGCATTCTTCAGGTCTAGTTTGCTCCCTACTGAAATATAATCCTCTTCATAATAATGACGTTGAACTGACTGGCCTGCCGCCCGGACAAGCTGTTTGGGACTTCAACACTGCAAAATTTCACAGTGGGTGTAAAAGTTCAGACTCAGCTTGTGATGGTCCTTTGATGGTCTGTAATCACCAACAATGTCACAAACATTCAACACAAGTGCTAATTGTGGGTTTGTCTGATTTTAACCCTCATAAAGGATTAAGCTGCATCACAAGTCTGTTTAGACCGAATGAACCATTATTTATAAAATTGCCATGTTGGACAGAGAACTTGGAGCGCAGAATTACGGCTTTGATTGGGATTTAATTTGGGAAAAATATTTCAGTTTCATCTAAAAATCCTGCCCAACAATTGATAAATTTCAATGTAGTTCATAGATTTTATTATACACCTCTAAAACCTTTTAGAATAAAACTTATTTCTTCACCTGTTTGTGTAAAATTTTAGCTTTTTTCATGTTTTCCCAATCTACAATTTTTGGGTTAATGTCTTCACTATCTTGGTCGCAAATTCTGGAAATAACCATTGATCCTGAACCTTGCCTTTTTCTATTAAATGATGATTCTTCAAAAACCCTGACTTTGAAACAACGAAACAAACTAACTTTTTCTCAGGATTAACTGCTGCTAATAAAACAATAATCAGTTCCTGGTTCCCTCCTAATCTCTGGTCACTTTAGCAATGGTTATTGCTATTTTATAGACATTTTTCGACTAGACCAATTCACTGCCTTAATTACCAGAGCAAAGCTTTCAGCAATTCTTCATGAACAAATACATGATAATTTGATCTCCATTATTAAAACTTATGTTTTATGACGTATACGAGAAATAATTAAGATGTCTTTTAAGATATAGGTCAAAACAAACTATTTTATTTCCTGTTGGACTGTTTTACAATAATTTTATTAGACACTTTTTTCATTTATGTACTTCTCTGACATTATGTATACAGTTTTTTCCTTTTATACTTACAGAATTCTGTATGTAGATGTATATATTCATATATGTGCTTGTTTGTGTGTACATACAGTACATATCATTTTTAATTTTGTTTCATATTGTTATTAACCATGCTATACACATTGAAAAAGTCAATGTTGGGGAATTCTGCCATTACCATGTTTACTAAAAACACAAAGTCAAAACACAAAAAACACAATAAAGTAAAAAAATTGCAATATTTTGTCATAAAAACTATCTTTGATCTAGGTCACTGAAGGCAACCAAGACAAAACCTAAACTAAAATGAAATGTCTTTGTGCCATATTAAATGCATATTTGAATTAAAAATTATAACTACAGTGATTTAGGAGAGGCAAACGTTTCTTTATGTATGGTTGAATTTATGTTGTGTAATGTGAATGTTCTTTGTGGCAGTGCATGTAATGCAAGGCTAAAAAAAAATGTTTATTTTCAAGGTCTTAGTGATTCATGCTAAAGTGATTTGTCAATAGGCATACATCCATTTAGCAACAAAACAAATTCTGCATTAAAGTCATGTTGGATAAATCGTATTTCCAAGAATGCATGAACAAAAGTACAACGCCATCTTGTATCCCCAAAAGTTTCTTAAATGTACCTGTCATTGCTATTATGCCTTGTCATATCATAAGTAGGAACGTCCTAGGGAGTGTAACAATTTTAAAAAAAGTCTATTTCTTTAAAATAATGTGTTGTCTTCAAATGTTTCATTTCCTTACAAAAGCTAATCCATTTTATATATATTCTTAAGTATTTTAAATTGTTCTCTTTAGGGTCAAAATGGACCTGAGTGCATTATGAGTCTTTCTGCACTGCAGTTTGTATGTTTGTGATGGGCAGTGGGTGGGCATCGCCTAGCAACCTGCAGCATTTTTACCCTCTTGTTATTTGAGATAAGCTGTATAGATTTTTCAGCGCCTCAGGCTGCTTCTCATTACCAAAGATAAACAAAGATGGCAAGAGCAAAGATGGCGGCTTTGTTGCCACATTCCCTAGTCACTCCAGAGATAAAAATCTCAGCTCATGCATCACCTCTCCCATATTATCATGAAAAAGCAGCCCTGTGGTCTTGATTAAAAGCTAGGCAGTGGCTGCCTCTTTTTTTAATCTTCAGTCTGTGGTTTGCTCAGATTTCATCTATTAGTTTACACTAAACCAATACCGCTTTCGATGGGCTCCTTGATAATTATAATTTAAGACTAATAATAAAAAAACAAAAAAATGTACACTTTAGTTAATTGTTTTTATTTAATTGTGTATAGTCAGTGTTGCTTTGCTAGACCTAGCAGAAAATGTTGGCTTTAATATACTGTAACAGCATCTTGGAACCTTAAGCAACAGCCTTGGGCAATGGAGAGAGTGGGATTCATGCTTTTTGAAAATGTACTGTAGTGTTAATGTTTAGTTCCTTGGTAAAGGAAGAATAAAATACTGTTTGGTTCATAAGTTAGTTTGGATGACACATGTAGTAGAATAATGTGTAGGAGGTTGACTTCAGCAGCAGTGCCCACACATATTTCTCAAAGTGCACAACGAATACAAAACCGCAACTCAGTGCAAATCTGCAACAACTTTCTTGACACTGTACTTGCATTTGAAACAAAAATGCTTTTTGCTGCTAAGATACTTTTGAAGAAATTACTTTTATGATATATTCAAATAAAAAAGTTGTTTTATATTTTGTAAATTACTGTTTTGACTGCATGAATCTAACAGTAGGATTTCAAAAAAAGAATTAAATTAATATTAGGACATGAGTTCCAAATAACATTTGCCAGAAATGATTTTGTGTAATGTAGCACATCATTTGGATGATGACTTGGTCTATATAATGATCCTGCTAGTCAGCTCTTGGTGGCCTGATTTCTCATGTTTTCATTTCTCATGTTTTTGTTTTTTTTCACAGGAGCACAAACCTTCATTCTCCACACCTGCTTCAAGCCAAAGGGCGAGCTATTGTGACCTCCATTCTCTTCTGTTTTCCGTTAACACTGTTAATTGTCGGGATAACCACAATAACGGCAAAGCCATGCCCAAAAGCAGTAAAGTGACTCAGCGCGAGCACAGTAATGAGCCTGTCACGGAGTCTGTGGCCGACCTCCTGGCGCTGGAGGCCCCCATGGACTACAAGAGCAGCCAGATGAGCATGAACATGACAGGAGGAAGCGCTCCACCCATAGGCAAACCAGACATCTCTCCTGATCTGGAGGACGGTCGTCCTGCGTGGAACAGTAAACTGCAGTATATCCTCGCCCAGGTGGGCTTCTCTGTGGGCCTGGGTAACGTGTGGCGCTTTCCTTATCTTTGCCAGAAGAATGGAGGAGGTGAGTAACTTATTGATGATGTGGATTTGTAATTGTTTTGAAACTAAAAGCATAGTTCATTCGAAAGAATTGATATAGTAAGATTGGTCTTGAGACCACGCAGATCTGAAACCAATTTTTTTTTTTAAATGCCATAGAATGCATTGATACATTGTTGAATTTGTTTTTGAACTTAAAGCTGATCTATTTTTTAAAATAGGTTTTCTACAATATATAAAACCTAACAGCTTTTTCTTTAGAAAACAAGCAGAAATAAATGATCATTGTTGTAATCTCACTAGGAAACATTGTGGCCAATCAAACAGTGCTGGGACTGTGCATATTAATGAATCAGTGTCTCTGTGTTTTGTTCCAATTGGCCTGTTTTTACCATGTACTAAACTCTTATAAATCACCTATGCTACACTGTAAAACCCAATAAGCTAAGGTAACTCAAACCATTTGAGGAAACCAAGTTCAAACTTAATTCTAATGAGTACTGTGAACTTAATCCAATAAGTAAACAAAGCAGTTTGTACACATTAAAACTCGATAAATGAAAAGAACTCAAACCAACTGAGTACTGTAAAACCCGATTAAATTAAGGAAACTCAAACCGTTTGAGGAAATCGATTGCCGCAAACCATTTGAGTTAAAAAAACGAGGTATTTAATTAACTCATTACATTCACTGTGTTCAAAACTCTTTTCAATTGAGTAGAATTAACTTAGTAAATTTTGAGTTAACTACACTCATTTTATTTAATAAAGTTGACTGTTTGGTTTTACAGTGTATACTAATGCTAATTATTTAAATATACACATTTTCTATTTGAAATATTGATCTCATAACATTTTGTGCAGTATGGTGCTACTTCTGTGTCACCTTTGCAGAAATAGGCTCTCCATAGGGTCTTATTCCAATTTTATCAACTAATTCTAACCCATTTCTTAGGCAGTAAATATGGATCTTTCAGAAATATTTGGAAAGTATAGTTTGGTCTTGGTCCCAACACATAAAAGACTTGGTTTTGTATTGATCTCAACTTCTCAGAGTCTTGGTCTTGTCTTGGTCTCAACCCCTCAAGAATTTGATTATATCTTGGTCTCAGCACATTCTAGTCCTGATATGTTTCAGTATAAATGGTCTTGCCTGCAACTCTACCCTAAAAGGAACATTTCTGTCATAATTACAAAATATCCCAAAATAATTTGTTAATGCATTGGTCATATATTTACACACAATACCAACAAATGTGCACAAGAGCTTTTAACTGTCAAAACTGCATAAATGTTTTCAGTACAACCTTTTTTGTGGTCAAGTAGTGTTTTGTAAGGATTTCATCTGCTGGTTGAGCAGTAAAAGAACATTCCTTCTACGGGGCTGCTAAAATCACTATGATCCCCAAGCACTAATTAAATCTTTAGAGCAATTTGTTAAATCTATCAGTAAATATGTGCTTTAGAATGACTCCAGCATCTAGAACTTTTAATTGATAAACCCATTTGAATCCTTAAGCAATAAACAAACAGCCAAACATGACTAAGTGAGTGAAATTTAGGCAAGATGCAAAAAAAAAAAATTGTAGTTGCATTAATAGAAAACACTGTGGAAAATTCTAGTCCTGAAGTTCATTTGGATGACACATGCTGCAAAATAATGTGCATATCTTAAAACAAACAAGAGATTGATTTCAGCAGCAGTGCCCACACACATTGTGTATTCCTCAAACTACATGAAAACCTTGAACTTGTTCCAAATCTGCAAAAAATAATTTTCTCTACACTTAACTTGCATATCAGCGGTGCAGAAAAGAACCATATAAAGCATCCCAAATGTTTTCAGTACAGCATGTTAGCTAAATTTCAACTAGATTTCAACCATATGTATTTGGAAGACAATGGCTTTGTGTGACTCTGCTATTCTTTGATAATCTTCTCCAGTCAGTTAACCATTCCCTGTGTCCCAATATGCCGAATTCGTAGAAGACGAACAACAGAATGCTAAGTGTTGTGTCCAAATTCATAATATTCATTAAAAGTAATCAAAAAGTGGCCAAAATTGAGTGTCAAATTAAATGTACAACCTTCCTGACTTTCATTGATTTTAGAAACAAAAATAATGATAGGATCATTTAGTCAGTTTTCAAGAACTGGATCATTCAGTTTGGTTTGTGAATGGATCAATCAGACTGGATTTGAGAAATGTTTGTGGCATAACTGCTACTATAATACAGACAACTGGTTCTGAAAATGTATGCACATGTAATATTGTATGTATGTGTTATTTATTTTTTTATATTTTAGCAGTGACCTGACAAAGAGACTGTGGATGAAAAGTTCCTTTTGGTTAAATCTAAAGTGCATTAAATGGAAACATTTATTTAAAAATATCAATATAAAGGTATACATTTTTTATATGGCACTTCTTTTTGAAAAGACTTGCAAGCACACAAGTCTAATCTTTTTTGATATTGTACAAAACTTCACATTTTGTTCCATGAATACAAAAAAATTGTGCTAATTTGGAATGACATGAGAGCAAGTAAATTATTATCATAACATTTAGTTTTCATTTGTAATTATGTGTGATCTTTAATATTTTTACTTTTTTATTATTCTCTTAAGCTCTGTAAAATTTCCACTGAGACAGTTTTTTTGGGGTCAGTTGAGAGCCTTGTGTGCTGTGGTTCCTCTAAATTTATTAAGCAGACGGTAGCAGTGTGTGTTATTTAGGGCAGCCAATGTTATACGAGCTGTTTGAAAATGGGAAATTCAAGGCTGGTGCGGTCTTAAATTGTGAATCTACGTCATAATTTTACTGCCGTCATTGTTCCTAGGTTGCTTAGACTATTTTTCATGGTTCATATACTCTTTTTATCTGAAATGTGCTATTTTATGTTGTTTTACACACATAAAATATGGTGTAGAATAAATTCAAGTAACTGAAATGTATGATTTAATGTTAACTGAATCCACATACTCACTTCACAAATAAATATATCTACAAAATGTAATGAATTAAGGTAATCACATTAACAAACATTGGCTTAATGGAACATTGCTCTTTTTTTGAAAAAGAAAACAACTTTAGAGTTGTACAGTTGAGTAATATCTAACAGTTAATTCTATCCACTTGTGAAGTGTGATGTCACACCAAGTGGTTTCCGGGTCCAAGCTCTTTATCAAACTGTAAATGTTTACAAAACGATGTAATACTTTCGAAAATCACAATCACAGTATACAGTTGAAATCAGAGTTATTAAACTCCCTTTGAATTTTTTTCTTTATTAAATATTTCCCAAATGATGTTTAACAGAGAAAGAAATTTTCACAGTATGTCTGATAATATTTATTCTTCTGAAGAGAGTCTTATTAGTTTAATTTCGGCTAGAATAAAAGCAGTTTTTAAATTTTTTAAAAACAATAAAAAAAAAATTTTAAACCATCATTATATTTTTTGTATAGTCTACTGAACAAACCACTGTAATACAATAACTTGCCTAATTACCCTAACCTGCCTAGTTAACCTAATTAACCTAGTTAAGCCTTTAAATGTCACTTTAAGCTGTAAAGAAGTGTCTTAAATATATCTAGTCAAATATTATTTATTGTCATCATGGCAAAGATGAAACAAATCAGTTATAAGAAATGAGTTAAAAAAACTATTATGTTTATAAATGTGTTGAAAAAAAATCTTCTCTCCATTAAACAGAAATTTGGGAAAAAATAAACAGGGGGGTTAATATTTCTGACTTCAACTGTATATATATAAATGCCTAATATCAGATGGGCAGAAAGTGATTAATTTTTTATAAATTGGTAAAATATTGGTGTCTGTGCAGACACTGATGTGTACACCATGATTTTATATAAAATTTATTCTAACGTGTGATTTGAGTGAAAAGTGCTCATAAACGAATATTTTCTCAATTCAAATGAGAAGCAGCTTGGACCCTAAAACAGTTTTTCATACGTCACGACTTAGCAAGCAGTTTTCAGAAGATCTCCAGGTCTGGCTGGAGCACTTTTACTGCAGCTTAGCTTAGATCATCAAATTTGATTAGACCATTGGAATCAAAAATCAAACAGTTTTGATAAGTAAAAAATTCCTATTTAACGCTAAACTTGTACTAATAACAACAGAACATTTAATAATCTATGCTAAGCTAAAAGTGCTCCTGTCAGACAGAGATTGGCTAAATGGATTCTAAAATGGTACAACTCAACTGTTTAACTATCTGCTTGTTAAGTGTGACGTCAAGCGAAGCAACAACCAGTTCCAAGCGCTCTATCAAACTGTATGGGAAGACTCATCAAATGGTAGTAATAAACGTTTACAAAGTGCTGTAATACTTCCAGAAATCACCATCACAATATATACATCCATGCCTAATATCTGATGGCCAGAAAGTGCAGAATTTTTTAAAAATTGTTAAAATTTTGTTATTTGTGATGCAGCAAATCCAGAGATCGACATGCACGCTATGATGTTATATAAAATTCACTTTAAAGTGTGAAATGATGACTAAAAAGTGGCCATAAATGAATATTTTCTCAATTTAAATGAGTATCGGCTTGAACCCACAAACAGTTTTCCATATGTCACGACTTAACAAGCAGAAAGGGGAGTTGTAAAATGAGCCTATTTTCAAAACAAAAGTGGTGTTCTTCATCAAGTTTTTAATAAAATAATTAAATTCTGAACAAAAGTCTTTTTAAAGCTACCAACGATTAAGATATTGAAGGCACAGTTTACCTGAAAATTAACATTTGCTAGAAATCAACTAGAGCCTCAGGCCGCCAAAAAATAGGTGATATTACAGATGATAAAACAATCATCCTTGGTGATTCATAATACGGTTAGTGGCTTCTTTGAGGGTTCAAACTTACACAAGCAAAATAAAATGCAGCTCCTGACAACACATCGAGGTCTTGAGAACTAAAACAATCCATCTGAGAATAAAATTAATATTCTTGACAGCCTTATTCATCATTTCCAGGCATTTGTAAATGCCTCAGAGATGTTGTTTGATGAAAATACTGTTTAGCTGTTTGCACAAACTAATTGGTTAAAATTAAGACCTTTGTGTTTTGCCTGGTGCCACAGGTATTAATTTTGTTTTGCCTGTATGTGTTTTTTTGCCTCTCAGTGCCAGCTAAACAATCATCTTTAATGCTCTACTGAAGACAACAAGCACATTTATTTATATGAAGTCTATTCATATGATCATATCATTATACAGTAAAAAAAAAGCTCCAAAACAGGACACGATAATCTTATTGAAAGTGAAACCTGACTCCTTAATTAGCTCATCCTATCTTGTCTTTGCTTGTCTAGCGATTATAAATGTTTCCCAGAAGGCCTTGTTTCCGTTACGCTCTCATACTCTCTCCATCTTCTCTCCTCCATCTGTCCGTCCATTCCTTTCTCTTCCCTCCAATCTCCTCTTTTCCAAGCAAGACCCGCTGTTCCTTTTCATTAGTCGTATGCATAAATAAAGCGCAGACAAAAAGCACCACAGAACACAAAAGAAAAGCTATAATCAAACTGATAACAAGCAGTCATTCTTCATAAACAGAGGCCAAGGAAAGGCTGTTCTGTGATCATCCCTGGCTCTAATTACACTTGTATGCTCCCGAGAGGATGAATTTATGGTCATCTGCCAGCAATGTGCACTCGGAGTCTACAAAAGAGGTTATTTCAGGATTGTTCTTTGACTTCAAACAGACGCTGCTTTTGCTCAGACCAAACTCTTCGTCACCATGGAGCTGCTTTGACGTCAACGGCGTGACTTGCTGTTTTATTCTGTTGTCTGTCCGTTCATTCATTCATGTCTGCCGAGGCTCAGGCTTTCATTAGCCTATAGCAGAAACCATCTGCTGCATATGGGTGGTTGAAATTTAGCATGCACATTTAGGCAAAACAAAACAACGATGACTGAGGGATGAAACTAATACAGCATTGCTCTTGTACTTGGAAAAGTCTATGATTCATTTATTTCAGCCTAAATCATGTTGTTTTCAATTAAGCTGAATGTTTTAAATGATGGTTTGACAAGTTCATAAGAACTAAATGTATTGTCAGGAGCTGTATTTTATTTTGCACGAATGCATTTTTTTCAAGGAAAAAGTTGTATTATCAATGGTGAATTTAAGCTTTTTAAATAAGATCGAAACAGAAATATAAACGGCTAGTGAACCTATAAATATATATCTTTCACACCTACTGCACTATTTTTTGCAATTTTTGTCCTAAAATAATGTTCTGTTCTATTTATTTTTTACATTTTTAAAAACATCAATCTTTTTCAGAGAAAAACAGATTGATTTGAAAATTAGAAATTATATCTGCATGTGTTAATATCACAAGGCGAATGAAATAAGGTGTTTTAAAAACAAGTTAAGGTTAGTAAATTTAAAAACAGTAAAAAAAAAAACGGTTAATTAATTATATTTGAAAATTTATTTAAATTATTTAAAATTATTTAAAGTGTGGGTCAATAACAAGTGTCTACATCATAGATGCCCAAAGTAGGGTCCGCAGGCCAAAGTTGGCCCATTGTAACATTTGATTTGGCCCACCATTCCATCTAAGAAGAGAGTGAGAAGGATGGAGAGGGTTAGTGGTCATTTATAATTTGAGGTAGCCTTTTTTGTTTGTTTGTTTGTCTATTGCTGAGCTACAAAAATGCTAACTGAGATAAAATGTTTCAATAGACCCTTTTTACATTTCTGGGTTTCTCAGTAGCGGAAGTCGTCATAGTTCGGAAAACTTTGAAAACAGTGAATGGGAGACTAAAACAAATATTTCTTTACAATCTCACTTGCTCAAATAATAAAAGAAAAACTTTACAGTGATGTTATAAAGACATTTACAACAAGAAAAGAAATTGTGTGAGATTGATGACGGCAGCCAGAGGGAAAATAATGTCAAATTTACTGTCTGTCACATAGATGCTGCATTAGAAACACCTCACACAAGCTGTAATTCATTTTTTTGTAATTTGAAGCAAAGATGATATAATACATACATAAATAAATAAATGTTCATACGTTTTTTGAAAATAAAAATCTTAAAAACTTTCAAGGATTTAAGATGCTGAAGACCTGTAAACGCGTCATAACAGGCTTGTGAAAAGGGTCCATTAAATGAAGGTGATTTTGTTAAATGTAAATAATGTCAATCGACGGATAGAGGCATATGCATAAGACTAGGGTGAACAAATCAAGGCAAAAACTAGAGTAAATCCATTCTGTCAAAAATGAGATTGTTTTTGTAATAGTGTATTAGTTAATAAAAAGTTTTCTAGTTGTTTTTAAATAATAATTAAACTAGCAAATGACCCATGGCAGTCATATTTACCTTCAGCCCACTAGCCTCAATCAAATTTTGTTTGCAGCCCTTCATTAGAAAAAGTTTGGGCACCCCTGATCTACATCAAATTAAATTTACAAATAATTATATATGTAAAAAAAATCATATTAAATCAAAGCAAAGTAAAAATAACCAGCAGAAATGAAAATGTCAAAATATTGATAGAATAATGTATGTTCATTTAGCATAACTAGCAAATTTATATAAACATACTTATTCTGATCTCTAATTATTCACATATATAAATATAAGAATAAAGGATATGATGCATTTTATTATATATTACATTTTTACAAACCTTTTGATGACAAAACCTAGAGGTTTGAATTAAGCATAAAGATTTACTATGACATTTAGTATGTCATTTAGTTTATTAAATAATAATTTAATATGTATTAAATGCATTATGCATTAAAATTCTTCTAAATGCAACTGAGGGCATTGGCACACTGGGAAACACCCATACACTCTCATTTACACTCATACACTACGGACAATTTAGCTTACCCAATTCACCTATAGCGCATGTCTTTGAACTTGTAGGGGAAACCGGAGCACCTAGAGGAAACCCACACGAACATGGGGAGAACATGCAAACTACACACAAAAATGCCAACTGACTTAACCGAGGCTCGAACCAGTGACCTTCTTGCTATGAGGCGACAGCGCTTCCCACTGCACCGCCTAGTTACTCTGATCTCTAATTATTAAAATGTGTAAATATGAGAATAAACGATCATGCATTTTATTATATATTACATTTTTACAAACCTTTTGCTGACAAAACGTTGCTGACAAAACGATGACCTTTAATTAGTCATTTGGTTCTGCACTATGATCTTTAAATATAACCATTTAATATGTATATCAGCATTAATCATCTTTTAAATGCAACTGAGATTTATTTATTTTTTTTGGTATATAAAGTGTTACACCGAATGACGTTTTAGAAAGTATCTGTATCTTCTGTAAATCTTGATAGAAACACTACTACACTATTTTTGATCTATACAAAAATGTAGTTTTAGCTTGACAGATTTATCACTATTGGTCTGAGCATATTATTTAATGTTTACAACATTATATACATGCAGTTAGGGCAATTTATGATGTAAAACACTTTACTGTATATTGCATACTTTAGAAGCAATAGTATTGCTAAAGCAACATGTTTATGTAGTCTATATGCTTATTGCTTTTATTTTGTATGTAAAAAGCATAAAAATAGAAAAAGGTGTGTTTTTTGTCATTTCAGTGAGCAGTATAGCTTGATTGATCGTGGCTGTGTTGGTCATTAAAGATACTGCTGTAAAGCACATTACTCTCTGTGTTTACAAGTGCCGTTGTGTCTCTCAACAGGTGCCTACCTTGTCCCATACTTCATTCTTCTTATCCTTATTGGCATCCCACTCTTCTTCCTGGAGCTGGCGGTCGGCCAGAGGATCCGTCGAGGAAGCATCGGCGTGTGGAATTATGTTTGTCCTCGACTTGGTGGCATTGGAGCGTCCAGCCTGATGGTGAGTAAAAGAAGTTCACTGAAACAAGACACAAATGAGCCATCACTCATTTAAATTACTTTACTGAATTACTTTAAGAGTGTTTATGTGGGCAAAGGTTTTGTTTTTGGATGCACGAAATTTGCTGGTTTAAGGTAGAAGTAGAACTAAATCTAAAACACAGGAAAAAGGGACAAGGTATATAGGAAATAGTTACTGGTAATTGTATGTTCTCTGTGTTACTAGTACTTATTTTTTAGAGAATAATATTGCAAATTGTTTTATTATGCTTACAGTATTTAGAGTGTGTGCTTACCTAAGAAAGTACTGAGTTATTGTATATACTGTATAAAATGTTAGGTTAAGTGGTACATATTATAATTAGTAAGTACATATAAGTAGTAGTAAGTGGTTAGTACATTTAATATTATTTACATGCCAATTAGGACTGTAAAATAAAGATCTACCTTAATATAAATTCTGTTAAGTACTAGCACGTTTTTGAAGGCTATTATAACATATTTGGGTACTAGTGCCTTTCTATACTGATGAGATACCACTTAAATAGACACTAGTACTTGTTCATTATATATTAGTACTTGTTCAGTTCATAGTGCCTAATATAATAGTGACTAGTAGCCATTATATTGTTTCCAGGTAAAACACTTTTGCCACTGACTCTAATGGAGATCCATTACTGAGATATCTCTATTCAGTTTTGGTTAATATTTATTCCAACTGTGACTATGTTTTTCAATAACAAGTAGTCATATTCATATGATACTAATAGCATTTATATTTAAAATACTATTATGTATTATTAAAAACCAGGACTTAATCATTAGATCTTAAATTAGTACTTAAATACTTATTGAATTGATTTTTGTTTACATTTTCTTTAGAAAGTAGTTCATATTTATTATATACTAGTACTTGTATGTATTTAGATATGTCTATCTATAAAATAGATACTAGTGCTTATTGATTAGCAACTAGAACTTTAGTAGATATTAATACAAGTTTATTATATTCCATATATCACTGGTAAGCTTAACTAAATTTCTCATTGAACTTTACTGTGGTTTTTCTGACTATAAATGAAAAAAGACAAGTTATTTATATAACATACAAAATGCATACAAAATAACATACATAATGCATAATAAATAAGTGCTACTATCTCATAAATAACTATAATACAAGTATTTGTTGAATTGCTACTAGTAGCTAAACAATAAGTACTAATATCTATTTAATAGGCAGATGTGTCTAATTAATTAGCATTAGTATGTATTAAATCAATAAGTTACATGTTTTAAAAAGGTAATAATCCCTTAAGAATAAGCAATAGTAGCTAATATATAATGGAGAAATTATAAGAATGGAAAAGATGCTATAAAACAAAAAAACTAAATACGAGTTCCATGAAAATAGATACACAATGTGCAGTATGTTGTATGAAAGTATGTTCATAGTTTGTAACTATTTAATAGTTCATGTTGTAAGAAAGTATGCCAAAACAATGTATTCATAATGCATATTTTATACTCAGTTTGGTCATTTGAATGCATGTTAATACTAGGCCGAAATAAGGCCTAAACTGATTACAAATGTAACATCTGGATTAAAAAACTCCAGACATCAAATCAGGAGTGTCTGTGCACATCAGCTTGCAATTCCAGACCAACAATTATTTTACTATCTTCCTATATTTTGTTGTCACGACTTTAATAAAAGCATTTATTTTTGATGAGTCACTATCATAAAAGTTCCCATTCACCAGAAACTGTGCTAAGACATCCATTACTCAATGCTGTTCTCTGATTAGACTATCACAAGCAGAGTCACACAACCAATCAAATAGGCTTCGATCTCAAAATATCACTTTGTGGGAACATTTCATACATTTGATTTCAGTCCCGACTGCACCTGCTCTTTCTGGTGTCTTTTTCCTAGAATAAGCAGAGCTGCGCTTTGGAGATACTTTAGCAAGTCAGCAAGTATATAAGGCCTTTTGGGAGATGTTGCTTATATTCCATAAGTCGATGCACCGGTGGTGAAATCTGCTATTGTGTAAATGCTGTGTCATCAGCAGTTTCCTGGGACTGGCTTTCACAATAATAAGAGAATGACCTGAATACATATTATATTCAAATATATATAAAATGCAATGAGGTCCACAGGGTCTTGCAGTCTTTAATCAATGCAAATTATGTAATAATTTGTAAAATTGTGAAATGTTTTTAGTATTCGATTCTAATTCAAGAATTAACTACATTTAGGTATAAAGTTATCACTACAGTATATACACTGAATATCCTTTGTATTTTATTTATTGTATATATGTGGATTGAGGGATATAGCTGAATCCATTAACTTTAGATTAGCAAACAACCTTGGTTGTGTTAAAATGATGCTTCACCCAGATTTAATTCACTTACATTAGAAGATTTTTAACGGAAATTGCTGCTCTTTGTCAATCATAAAAACACAAGCGCCAACTGTTACTGGCAATTTAACCTATTACACAGTTCTGTGGCAACAGTCTGTGAATATAACAGCTTCTAATGGTAAAAAAATATATATATATTCATTCTATTTTTTATAAAGACAGTTTATTACAACACTGATTCTCCCATTGTATATGCAATCAGAGGGGCAAAGTCCTGCCCATTAGTGTCAATCTCTGCCTCATTAGCATAGGAGGATAGTCTTGTAATCTGCCACTATGCTGACACACAGGCATTTGTAATTCCAATCACTATTTGAAAAGAGGGCTGAGAGCACAATCTCCTTCAAATTGAATGCAGTAGTCACCAAAATGGCACAATTAGGATCAAAGCCTAAAAAGGGCAGTTTTAAAGAGTTATAAACATTATTTGTGGGTTATTTTGAGCTGAAACTTCACATAGACACTCTAGAGACATCAGAGACTTAATTTACACCTTGTAAAAGAGACAAAAGTAAACTTTAGAAGTCAAAGAAGACAAAACATAAATAATTTGTGTGGCTCCAAATGATGCACTGATGCCTTATGAGAGGAAATGGGAAAATGAACATTATTTGCAACATTACTGCCTTTAATACACACCTCTGTAAACTGTTATGAAGATGCTTTCATAGAGCAACTGTTTTGCTTCATTCAAAACCTCATTAGCTTCCTTCAAATGGACTGAAATAATCAGTTTGCATCTAGACAATAGTCCATGTCAGATAGAAATAATATTACTAATGAATTAGAAGAGGTCACTTAAAGGTTTTCTAATGTGACAGGTTATGACATGTAAACACTAGATTGGATTGAGAGGTCTAACACTGAAAAAGTTCTTTGATGTGCTTTGACAAAAAAATGGCGTAATGATGTACTGTATGGCTGCTATGTCTTTTCAAATTCCTTTCCACTGTCTGTCATGCGGTGCAGGACAGTGTTGCGGACTGATTTTTCAGCCTGATAAAAATAGCCAATGCAGCACAAAGCTTGATATACCAACTGTTCCCTGAAAACAAATAGACAATACTTTGTAAAACAATGTAAATAGGAAGGAGGATTGGCTTAAAATGCACATCCTAAAATAGTGGGAATCTATTTGTCTAATAAGCGCAAGTCTGACTTGCATTTTAAGATATGGCTTCAGCTAAAAATCCTTTTATATTCCGCTGAAAAACAAAATCTGGAATAGCCTGAAGTTGAATAAATGAACAGCAAATGTTCATTCATGTGTGAGCTAAACTTCTAACCACACTCAAAGACAATAAAAAACATGTACATTTAGATACTACAGACCTCTAAATAAAACTAAATAAAAAGAGAGCGTGGCAAAACACCCGAAGACTATATGTAGCTTTTCTGCAGCAGCCTCAGCTATTAATACCCATGAAGCCAAAGCAGAAAGAATGTGCTTCAATTATTCACCAACTCAGTGTGCGGTGGACTTGTGACGTTGCAAAGAGCCATTTCTGCGCCCTGCTATAGACTGCAGAAAAGAAATCAAGGGATAGATTTGCAAGCACAAACAGATGAACCTTGAACATACTTAGTATTTTAGCACATTGTGCATTTGCTTGTGTTCTATTTATATCTATGGACTATATAAATGGAGTAATGGAGTTAAAAGACTTCAGATTTGATCCATTAAGGCATGTATCAGATGAGATTCCGGGAGCCAGACTTCTGACTGTCAGCACATCAGTGCTTTAACAACTGCCAGGAAGAGCTACTCTGACATATCTGTAAACTGATGACTTACACTTTGCTGAATAAACCAGAAATTGATGACATCACAATAATAGGCTGTCATGTAAACTCATTAAGACAGCACCTATGAAATTTGTGGAAAGTATGTTTAGATTATATACTGTAAGAGGCAATCCTCTCTGAGCCAGTAGAAAATCAGAAAACATCACCAGAATAAGACTGCTTGAAGTTGTCAGACTGTTACATTGGATTTTGACAGCTCTTGCTATTTTTAGTATACATAATGTCTGATGTTCAATAAATTGTCTGCAGTCAAACAAAATGAGACTTAGACTCGATAAGACCTTGCCAGGGGCTGTCTTTTTTTTTAAAAGTATTACCACCGTAATTCTTTTAAAGTTGTTAACCAATGCTTTTTGTTCTCGCTTTCTCCAATTCTGCAGGTGTGTGGTTTTGTTGGTCTGTACTACAATGTGATTATCGGCTGGAGCATCTTCTACTTCTTCCAGTCCTTTCAGTATCCTCTACCCTGGAGCGACTGTCCCATCAGGAAGAACGGCAGCCAAGCCAGTGAGTGCTCTTCAGTTTCTCACATAATGACCATAAAGACTGGAGATGAGTCATTTAATGCAAGACATTTCTTTTGGTACAACACTTTAAATAATGAAATGAAATGTGGCTTCCTGCTTGTTTGCCAGTCAAAACTGTAGTAAAGTGACACTGTAAGTAGAGTAGTTATATGTAGTTATGTATGTATATATGTAGTTAGCTATATAGACCAAAATTGTTTTTAGTACCACCTTTTTTCTGCTGTGAAGTTGGCCATTTTAACATTTGGGTCAATAGAAATGTGCTCTATTTTTGCCTAGCGAAATTTTGATGATATGCAGTCTCAGTTACTTCAGTATTACCTTCATGAGAGAGAGCGGGATGTTGTCGCTTGATTCTGCCCTATTCACACCTTGTCACATTTCCTATAGATGCTGTTTATGAGCATCGCTCTCAAGGCCATGTTGTGTGTTTAAGGCTTCACAGAATGCCATGCAGTACTGTCCCCAGGTCAATGAGCAGAGGATGAACTAGACAGAAGCTTTGACCTGCAGTCAGTGTCGATATCTAGCTCTCTTACACTAGATGCATGTAGACGTGCAGGTTAAGTGGTCACAACAAACCACAAATATTCTTATATAACCCAGAACTGTTATGTGCTAGTGTTTTTAAACTTTATGTGGATGTTCTTTATGTTTCTAATCTGAATAGGCCCTGTTTCCACATAGTATTAGCATGCATTCAAATGACCAATTGAGTTTGGATTGCTTAGTCAAAACTCTAATATCTTATTCAAACAGAAATTTTGAATACTTTGTTTTGGTACATACAACATGTCCCTTAATTCTTACTTGTTTGTCATTTGCCTGTACAAGAAGAGTGAGTTTTCCACTGAATTCATCCACATTAGGGCAGCATGATATTGGAAAAATCTGACATTGTAATTTCCTGCGATATATACTGCATTATGGTCACACTTTATGTTAAGGTTCAATTCTCGCTATTAGGAAACCATTAACTATGCCTTTTTTAACTATTAACTATGAATTTGGTCCTTTATTAATATAGTTTAGGTACTGGATGTTAGAAATGTAGAATAAGATCATGCAGAATATGTAGTTTATAAGTACTAATAAGCAGTCAATATCTCAATAACATGCATGCTAATAAGAATAATAATCAGAATTGGTCCCTAAATAGTTATCAAATGTAATATTATATTTTTGTTTGATTGGGATGATTCTGTAGGTCAATTAATTATGCATAAAATGTAATAAACTGTAAATGTAAATGTAATGTAAAAATTACACTGCAAAGTCAACTCAACATTGCATACTTATGTGATGCGACTATTGTGGATGCACACATTGTGATTTTGATGCTGAAACGATATATTGTGCAGCTCTAATCCACATGAGTTTAAACTATTTCTAAAGAAAACAAGCTTAAAATGTTTTTGACCCTGTTCACACCTGTATTCAGCACTAGATTGGCACAAATGCATCTTAATATCAGGTGTAAACAGGACGATGTATTACAAACTTTAAAGCTACTATATAGGTCAAACTATAATGATTCAACCCCAAATTCTGTTGGTTTGTGCAGTGTTTCATCAACAAGTAATGATTCTGTTTCTGTTATTCATTTCCAAGACACTCTACTATGCTGTTAGAAGCAAAGTTTAAAGATTCCCAAAGCGCTGGCAGAACTGGAAATAGCAGCAAGTCACCAAAATATGTAGGGGTTTTGGATGATGGGCTCCCAAAAAGCGTATTGAATTTTTTCAGTTAAAAAGGCTTGAGAAAATAATTGTTAATGATATCCCCAAGTAGATCCTATTTCCGGGATAAACATGTTTTATTGATCCTGGAACAACTTTCCAATCAAGTTAGATTTGAGTATAGGTTTATAAGAAATGTCAATGTAGGATTACAACAAGGTCTGGGCTATCGTCATTATTTTTGTTAACTTTTTATCCTCACTCTTATTCAGTTTAGTCTGGGGTCGCCACAGCGGAATGAACCGCTAATTATTTTGGCATATGTTTTATGTAGCAGATTCCAGCCCTTCCAGCAACCTGAAAGTATATTAACTCATGAACCCCCCAGAGTTGGGAAACACCCATACACGATACACCTTTTATTTCACACTAATTTTAGTTATTATTTGGGGTTAGGCTTAAGGGCAGGGTTAGAATTACGAATATATTTTTTGGACAGGAATGTTGTTCAAGGATCAACAAAAGATAATGGGTAACACTTTATTTTGATGGTCTATTTGAGTATTAGTAGACTGTGTGCTTAATATATGTTCATATGCTCCTTCAACAGACATTTAACTGACTATAAGAAACTTTGCAAGTACATGTAAACTTACACTAACCCTAACCCCAACCTAACTGTCAACTTATAATCTAATGAGAATTAGTTGGCATGTAGGTGCAATGTAACTTAAATTCAACAAACGGACCATCAAAAGAAAGCATAAAACAGTCTTTACTTTGCAAAATCATGGCAACCAGGGAACATATCATTCCAATTCATCAGTGTTTATGACTGATCATCTGACATCACATAGGTGATACATTTTGCTAATTAAAAATTTTAAGTTTGACAAAATGTCAGATTATTGCTGTAAACAATGAACATGATATCTATCGAGAGCTTTACTCATTTGTTCTATTATTTTACTTTATTATCTGTTCCCTGATGTTACTCTAGGATTCAACTGTGGTTCTAGAGCTATACTGCTCTTTTTAAAAAGATATATAATTCTATGAGTGTTGGAAAAATTATTTTATCCATTTATAGAATTGAAAATATAAATTGTACTGCAACTTATAGCTTGCTTATTTGGCTACAAACGTCATCTTGTAAAATCCATGATGTATGTCAAATTAGGAAGTAACTATTCTTCTAAGCACAGAGCAAGACCTGTAATTCCAACCAAAAAGGTTTGCAATGTTCCAGGTGAATATATTTCTGGGAAGCATGGTTCAGGAAAAACATTATTTTTGACCATAGTTGGCTAATTTGCTTTTGGGAAATGCACCCCTAAAGAGTTTTGCTCCAAACTTAAACTTATCAAACTTTTTAGGATAACTAGAAACTATAGGCAAGTTTGTTTGTCTATAATCAAGATATTGACTTATTGCACAACACATGGACATTACCTTAATTATTTTTGCTGATGCAATATACAGCTGAAGTCAGAATTATTAGCCCCCCTGAATTATTAGTGCCCCTGTTTATTTTTTCCCCCAATTCCTGTGTAACAGAGGTAAGATCGTTTCAACACATTACTAAACAATAGTTTTAATAACTCATTTCTAAAAACTGATTTATATTATCTTTGCCTTGATGACAGTAAACAATATTTTACTAGATATTTTTCAAGACACTTTTATACAGCTTAAAGTGACATTTAAAAGCTTAACTAGGTTAATTAGGTTAACTAGGCAGGTAAGGGTAATTAGGCAAGTTATTGTATAACGATGGTTTGTTCTGTAGACTATGGAGAACAAATGAGCTTAAAGGGGCTAATAATTTAGTCCCAATAATTAAAAAAAACATTTAAAACTGCTTTTATTCTAGCCGAAATAAAACAAATAAGACTTTCTCCAGAAGAAAAAATATTATCAGACACTGTGAAAATTTCCTTGCTCTGTTAAACATAATTTGGAAAATATTAAAACAAGAAAAAACTATTTAAATGGGGGCTAATAATTTTGACTTCAACTGTATATCGCTCATACATAAATACAATTCTAGCAGCATTTTAGCTGATTGTGCAACATCTCTATCTATATTAGAGGTGTCAGTGTCAGTATGGTTTAAAAAGTATTTACTATTAATTACTTTAGTGTATTTTCATGTGACAACTGAAATAGATCTGGTGCAGATATCGCAGCTTCTGTTACTTTTTACCTTGCACTTTTTTTCGTTAACATTTATTATTATTTGTTTAGGATATGCATTTTCATATTCTGATTACAATGCCTAATTAATAAATCATTTAAATGACTATAATTAGATTAAATATTCTTAAGAATAAAATATTATGTGTTCTTTTGAAGAGTTTACTTGCATTGTGATTAGGCATGGGTCAGTATATGATTCTGACGGTATGATAACCTTGTATAAAATATCATGGTATAAAGGTCTCAAAGTGTTGTGCTCACTGCTTTAAATGTGATCGTCATTGTGATCGGCCGATACAATATACCGATTCTGATGCTTCAAGCTTTATAATGGATAAAGCACATTTTTTCTCGAAGTATGGTCCTTACCTAAGAGAATAAATTAAGGATGCAGCATATAATCCCATAAACACATATAACCATTTAGGTGTGAACATAAAATTCATAAATTATACACTGTAAACAAAGGCTGCTGCAAATCGGTATATATTACAGCTGCAATCGCTCACACTTGTAAACTCATAACCAAACACTTGAGATCGGTTCATGAGATCAGCCAGATTGGCGAGTACCGATTGAGTCAATAAATGTGATTATCGGCCAATACCGATCTCCTGCCGATCGATCAGAGCATCCTTAATGACTTCTGCTGTCTTCATTAAAGCACAGATTTCTTTACAATTTGAATATCTTTTCTGCTGGAGATACTGTTGTCTTAAAAACAAAAAAAAAATAATAAAACTTAAAAATAGAATCACATACCACATAAATCTTAGGAACAGAAAATGTTGACAGTTTTATAACCTTGCCTTTTCGAAACCGCGGTATACCTTAAAAACTGTTATCGTCCCATGCCTAATTGTGATTATATTATATTGTCAATATAGCATTATATAATGAGTGTCATAAAATGGTCTTAAAATGACAATAATATCATTTATCGCAATATATTTTGGTGCAATATATATCAAACAAAAAAAAAACAAAAACAAAAATATTATGACAGGCCTAATTAGATTTGAAACTAGATGGAATTTGAGTGGTGAAATTGAGCCTGATTTAATATAAATCTTTTTTCTGATTAGTTGTGGAGCCAGAGTGTGAGAAAAGCTCAGCAACTACATACTTCTGGTACCGGGAGACCCTGAACATCACCAGCACAATCGCAGACAGCGGGGGTCTGAACTGGAGGATGACTCTGTCACTGCTGGCTGCCTGGATAATTGTCTGCCTGGCTGTAATAAAGGGCATTCAGTCTTCTGGGAAGGTGAGGCACACTTCTCACTGCATGAAATAATGAAACGAGAATCAACCAAGATGAGAAACACACCAATTTTCAGATATAGCTCGAAGGAACAATCTGGATTATCAAGCACTTCTGAACAATTATACAACCGCTGCATGCAATTATGATTATTTTCTCAGAGCAGAACGATTGAATTATCCTTCAAGCTACTGTAATTCAAGGTGTGATAGCGCTGATGGTTTGGCAAACACAGATTATATAGAAAAATACACATTTACTAGAACAGTGTCTAGACAACAGGGACACATAGTTCTTGATTTCGGTTAATCTCATCAGGCCAGATTTACCTCTGTTTTAGGTCATACAACTAGAAAAGCCTGTAATACTGAATGTAATTTTTCTTTCTTTTATTCAGATTTTTATTAAAACATATTTGTCATCGTCATAAGTTTAAAAAAAAAAACAGATTGAAGATTTTATAAATCAACAACAATAAAATAATAAATATCTAATTGGGAAAGGTAGCTGCTTACAAAAAGTATGAATAAAAAAGCTTTTATGAATTAAACTAATTTGTAATGTGATGATTTAGATTTATTACACTATTTACTAGAAAGACTTGTTATTATATGAGTTAATACACTTGTAGATTTTGATAAATGTGTCCACAAACCATTCTAAAACATTTAAATACAAACCCAATTGTAATTGTCATGCTGTATTTGTGCAGGTGATGTATTTCAGCTCTCTGTTTCCTTACGTGGTGCTCTTCTGCTTCCTGGTGAGAGGACTGTTTCTTAAAGGAGCTGTAGACGGCATCGCTCACATGTTCACACCCAAGGTAACTGTACGCACAAAACACACTCTTCTAAACACACATGTCATATTTATGCGATTCAGATGTCTTCAGATTTATTATTTTAGTCACTAGCTAGCAAATTTCATGCAGTGCGAGCAAAGCTTTAGATGGAAAGTCAGCACTGTAAAAAAATAAAAAAATAAATTGTAATGCTTTGTCACATGGTTGAACTCCCTCTTGTGGTGTAGTTGGGGTATGTAATTAGATTTAACTTGAGGAAAAAAAAAGATTGTAATACTCAAACACATACTTGACCCAAAAACGAAAATAGCCTTTTAAGATCTTCAAGGCTTTTTCTTCAGCCCCCCCCAAAATTTGTTTTTTAAAGAGGGAAACATTCTAGGATTTTTCTCTATCTACTGCAAGTGAATGGGGCTCAGCATAAAATAGGGGTGCTAAATCCTGTTCCAGCAGATGTAAACTTCCAACAAAGTGCAACTCCTGCCCTGTTTATGACCTCTCATTCCTGTTGAGATGTCCACATCAGTTGCAAGAACTGACTTAATGTTTATAAGCAGAACAAGCAAAGACTACATGTCAAGCAGCATTTACAAAAATTCAAATTGGATGATTTTGAGTTTTCTTTTCATACAACCCTACCTATTTAAACTCAAGTACATAGACAAAGTAAACAACAAGACAAAGATTAATTAAGATGTGGTGGTGCATGCCAAAAAAGAAAAAAAAAATACTACAACAACTATTCAACTAGTCAAGCAAGAACTAAACTCTCACAGAGCAGGGTCAAATATTTGTAGTTTATGCTCTAAAAATAAAAAAATTACATTTTCACCAGAGAAGACACTTGTTTGTCAGCTAAGGGTGTGTTTTTCTTTTTTCATTTAAAGCTGCTTAGACATACAGTTGAAATCCGAATTATTAGCCCAAAAAAAATCTTCTCTCCGTTAAACAGAAATTGGGGGGGGAAATGAACAAGGGGGCTAATAATTCAGGGGCTAAAAATTCTGACCTCAACTGTATGTAACTTATGAATTATAAAGAATTCTGATTTGAATGTGAATTTTGAAACATCAATAATGGTCAATGTTGAAGCTCTATACACAGCAAAAAGTTAAATTAATCGTTTTTACAAATTTAAGTGGATTGAACATAAAACAATTATGTTTGCTTAAGAATTGTGTTGGTTCAGCTCTTATTAAATAAGTAGTTTGAACAAACAGCTAACAAATTTTTTGAGTGTTTGAGTATGCACTAGTCAAAAAAACTAACTAACAAAATCTTTTTGGTTCACCAAAAAACATTTTTATAATTTTTTAAAAATTAATTTAAATACATTTTTGAAACTACACAACTATTTTCTGGAATAAAAGAGTCTATAGACATTAAAGGTTCTTCATGAAGCCATAAACACCAACAAAAAAAATCTATATTTTTTAAGCATGTTCATCTTAGATTATCTGGGGGGGAGTAACTAACTAAGAAGTTTTCATTTTGGGGAAACTAACGCGATTATAAATATGTAAATATTTTTAGGCCTTCACTTATTGATCACCTCTCATTTACTTTAATATTTATTTTGAATTGAAATCAAATAAGGAACGGCACAGTGGTGCAGTCGCCACACTGCATGAAGGCTGGGTCAGTTGGCATTTCTGTGTGGAGTTTGCATGTTCTCCCCTTGTTTATATGGGTTTCATCCGGGTGCAAAGTCCAAAGACAAGCTTTAAAGACCTTATTCTTCAGTGCAGAAGTGCGCTCGTTTTTACAATTGTTTTTTAAATTCAGTTGTCTATGGGAGATATGGCGAGGAATAATAAATCGCAGAAAACGGTCAAACTACTTGCTCTACGAATAAGTATTTCCATGACCACAGACAAAGCAGAATCATATAATAAGAAAATATCAGTTTGCAACATCAAGCAGCAGAACGAGGAGTTTTTAACTAATATGAAGAGGAGTTTTTATCTAAAAATGACTGGAAGTGAATGAGAGCAGAAGTCTCGAGTCAAAAAGATTCAATTGGCTGTGCCCACTCATACGTGAAGAACAAGGGGAATAGGTAAATTGGGTAAGCTAAATTGTGTTTAACTGTGTTAACCAGTGATGGGTTGCAGCTGGAAGGACATCCGCAGTGTAAAACATGTGTTGGTTAAGTTGGTGGGTTATTCCACTGTGGCGACCCCTGATGAATAAAGGGAATAAGCCGAAAAGAGAATGAATGAATGAATAAAATTAAATAAACATAATAATTGATTTAATGAATGTCGTTTTAGCTGGAGATCATGCTGGAGCCGCAGGTGTGGCGTGAAGCGGCCACTCAAGTCTTCTTTGCACTTGGTCTGGGTTTTGGAGGAGTCATCGCTTTTTCCAGCTACAATAAGAGAGACAACAACTGCCATTTTGATGCCGTCCTGGTCTCCGTCATCAACTTCCTGACCTCTATACTGGCCACGCTCGTGGTGTTCGCCGTGCTGGGCTTCAAAGCCAACATCATGAACGAGAAATGTGTGGTGGAGTACGTATGACCTACTATTACACCTTTATTTCAGTTCTCTCATAAAAGGATCCATTTGTTTGTGATTGGATTACTCACATGCGCAATACTTTAAATCTAAATGTGAATGCTAGGTTTTGAGGTCATGTTTCAGCCTCATGTCTGCGTTTTCCCCCTTGTAGGAATGCTGAAAAGATTCTGGGTTACTTAAACTCAAATGTGCTGAGTCACGATCTCATCCCTCCTCATGTCAACTTCTCGCACCTGACCACGTCAGACTACGCTGAGATGTACGGCGTAATAAAAATTGTGAAGGAGGACAGTTTTGCCCAGCTGGGACTAGAGCAGTGTTTGCTGGAGGATGAGCTCAATAAGGCAGGTGTTCAGCCCATGAACTATCTGCTTTCATTCACAAGTTTCAGCGATTATTATTTAAGATGGAGAACACTTTTTTTTTCTCATCAACTCAATAGACTTGTCAAATGGTACCATTAAAAATGTGCCCTACAAGTAATTGCATGCTTAAACACAAATTTTGAAGCCGACTAAATGATAAGTCTTACACAGTCCCAGATAGTATTGTCCCTTGTGATGTATTTTTTATTTAGTGCCATGTCAGCAACCAAGGCTATCTTCATGGCAGGAATCTTTCAACAATAAATATACAATTTAAAAATTAACAAATAAAATAAAACATAAATTAAATAAGATTTTTTGTGTTAATACATGATAAAAATTCTAAAATCTTTTCTTGTTTCACTTTGTCAAAAATGTCCTTAAAAGAGTTCATTTCATAAAAAGTGCTTCTGGAATCAGTAAAAGCAGGACAGTCCAGTAAAATATGTTTTACAGTAAGATGAGTTTTGCAGCACAAACACTGAGTAGGGTTTTCACCTTGGAGCAAAAAACCATGTGTAATTATCGTATGCCCAATACGACATCTGGTAAAAACTACTTGATCAAATCGATTCTTAAAATGTCTTAAAATTCTGTGTGAAACTTCAGGTTGGATTACATGTAGTTTTTTGTTTTCTAATGCATGTATTGTCCCTTAACACAGGTATTAAAACAAACCTGGAGTGTAAACAAAGCTCAATTATTATAGGAAAATATGACAATGTACAGCAGGGAAAATAAGTATTGAACATGTCATGTATTTTCCCTTGGTATATTATATCTTAAGAAGCTGTTGATGTGGGATTAAACCAAATTTTAATTTGAAGTTTTTTTTAAACAAAAACTCAACATAAAAATAAAACTAAACATTTTTTTTTAATTAGTTCTATTTAATAACAATGAAATGACACAAGGAGAAAGTTCTGAACTACTGAAAAGTGTTTTATACTTTATACAAAAAGCTTTTTTGTAATGGCAGCTTAAAGACGACTCTCTTATGGAGAATTAAGTCACATTAATTACTCAGTATAAAAATGTTGATGATTCTGTAGGTCTTGTCTATCAAATCTGATCTTTAATTTTTATTTTCTATTGGATTCAAATGAGGTGAGCTTGATTTCTCTGTGTTTTTGATCATAGTCTTGCTAAAATGTCTACTCTGGTTTTATCTTTATTCTACTGATAATGTAGATGTTGGACTGAAACTGCTAATATTAATCTTCAATGACTTTTTTCATGATGTAATTTTACATTTATTTGGGAAATTTTATCAGAATTTTTATATTTAGCCATATTATATATTTTCCATTGAGTTTTAGTTATAGTTTAGTCATTGTTTCACTTTTTTATTTTAGTACTCGTGTTTAGATAATAAAATTATAAATGACCAACATTCAGTTTATCTGAGCCCTCATGGTGCATTGGATGCAATGGCAGTTTCATTTATGAAAGCAGCTTATACATATTAAACTCATTACAATATATTCTAGATCAGAAAATAAAATTAAAATACAATTTTTAATACAGTAGTCAACTCTTGAAGTGGATCACGTTTTTAAAATTTGTCCTAAGAAAATAATGGGTGTCGTTGAATTTTTTGAGCACAATTTTTATTAAAGGTTATGAACCACTTCAAATGTTGACTACTGTATATTGCAAGAATAAAATATAAGCAATCATTTTTATTTCATTTTATTAAGATTTGGAGTTATTGCTATTTATTTTTGTTTAATAGATGTTAGTTGTTTCTATTTTCCAAAACAAAAACACTTTTTTCATGACAGTTTTTTTATCTTTTCTTTCTCCTGTCAGGCTGTTCAAGGCACTGGTTTGGCTTTTATTGCCTTCACAGAGGCCATGACCCATTTCCCAGCTTCTCCTTTCTGGTCCGTCATGTTTTTCTTCATGTTGATTAACCTGGGTTTGGGCAGCATGATTGGCACCATGACTGGCATCACCACTCCCATTCTGGATACCTTCAAAATTCGCAAAGAGTACCTTACAGGTTAGAGTCCATCATTTATGCCCCTCTAAATATTGTTCTTAGTCATATTGTTCCAAGAGACATTATATCTGACCACTTTTAAAACCCACAAAGTAACGATCATGTGTGTACCTATTTAGTGGGCTGCTGTATTGTGGCCTTTCTGTGCGGCCTTCTGTTTGTCCAGCGTTCAGGGAACTACTTTGTCACCATGTTCGATGACTATTCTGCTGGTTTACCCCTCACTATTGTGGTGATCCTGGAGAATGTATCTGTGGCCTGGATCTATGGCACCAAGAGGTGAGCAGATGCACTGTTTACTGCTTATAAAGATCTTCAAAGTGCGCCTTGAAATAGGACTGCATCTCTGAAATCAGATCTCATCATCATCTATTCTTCTTTTTTCCAAATATAGTCTCAGCAATTCAGTTTGTTTGTTTTTTTGCCATGTGCCTGATATCGAACTATAATGCTGGTTGTTTTTTTGGCGTCCATCAGGTTCATGCAGGATCTGGAGGACATGCTGGGCTTTAGACCATACAGTGTTTACTTTTACTTGTGGAAGTATGTGTCTCCAGTGTGTCTGATCATACTGATTTCTGCCAGTGTTGTTGAGATGGCCATCAGCCCTCTTGGATACAATGCATGGGTGCAAGACCTGGTTAGTAATTCAACAGTCTGCTTTTTTGTCCCAATTCTATTCCTGTTTACAAATGATACCATGGTATTAACCTTATTCAGCAATGTGGAAGTGCTTTCATTTTTCTGATTCAGCTGCCTATTTGAAAAATGACTAGGAAAAAAAAACGGCAGAAAACAGTGAAACTTACTTGCTCTACAAACATGACTATACAAAAAGCAGATTAATATAATAAGAAAATGTCTGTTTGCAAGATCAAGAATCCAAAACGAGCAGTTTTTAATGTCTAAAAATCAAAGGGACGGGAAGTCTCGAGCCAAAGAGATTTTAATAGCTGCAGCCACTCTTATGTAAATAAATAAGATTAATATATGTAAAAAAAAATAATAAATTGGGCAGTAATATAATAGGGATGAAACCTGATAATGTTATTTTATTGCAGTATCTGGTGGTGCAACCAATTATTAATAAGTAAATATTATTTCATTAACAATATTACAGTTCATGTGAATATTTTGTTGCTTCAACCACTACTGAAATTGTCTGAAGAAAAAATAGATATAAAGAATAATATTACTATAAATATATACTGAATAGACATCCATTGTTTAGTACTGGGATTTTGTTCCTTATTTTACATGTTTCTTAGTTCTTTATATTTCATACTTATCTTGCGTTGTTATATATTGTTGTTATATACTTCAATATATACATATATATATATATATATATATATATATATATATATATACACACACACATACACACACACACACACACACACACACACACACACACATATATATATATATATATATATATATATATACATATATATGTATGTATATATACATACATACATAAATACATATACATATGCACACACACACACACACACACACACACACACACACACACACACACACACACAAGTTCAATACTTTATTTTTATTTCAAAACTACACAGTATTTGGTAGTTTGTATTAATTAGTTTATGGTACTGATCTTTTTTTCTCTTACTGTTAATGTACAGTTATATTAAGGTGATGTTAAACATGTTCATAATTAGTAATTTACACTGTGGTTCAAAGGTTTATGCTTGGAAAGTAGGGCTGGGTGATTTGGCCTAAAATCAAAATCTCAATTAATTGAAGATTTCAACTCGATTAAAATTAATGAAAAATGATTTTTTTTTTCCCCCTTATAGTTCCCTGACAGTTTTTGTACAGTAAATATGCTCATATTACACATGATAGATTTCTGAATGCATTACTTGATTTTAACTAGTTGAAGGAAACACACACTACCTACTTTCTATGACTATTTATTGAAGTTGAACAACTAAAATTAAAACACACATTGCCTACTTTTTCAGTCACTTTTGTTCTTATAAAAAAGTGAAAATAAATAACTTGCACTTCGATTTTGAAAGCAAAATAAATTATTCTCAATGTTTTTCATTAAAAGTAAAAAACAAGCAGTATCTCTTCTAAATAAAACAACTCTTGTATATACTGTAACTAATATTTTAAACAATGCATTTCCTGCATTTTTTGTAAACAAATATTTTAATGTAAATAACAATTTTGATGTAATAAAAAATATGCCTTATCACTGGCGCAGCGTCCAATCATCATCAATGTAGTGCAAAGTAAGGCTCTAAAATGAGCCCATCTTCCAACTTGACCAGATATCAGAAGTGGCTGCAAAGTGGCCACAGAGGCATAAATCAGCCTCTGCTTTTAACATAGTGGAATCACGTGACTCCACACACGGTAGGGAAAGTAACTGAAAAAAATCGTAGTGAAAAAATTTGATTGATTATAAATTATGAATGTCGATTTTGACTACTTTTTAATTAATCACCCAGCCCTATCGAGAGGCTGTGGTTATTTGAATTAAAATACAGTGAAAGAGCACTTTTGATGGAAAAGAAACACTAAAATGGCACCACAAATAACCTTTTTCTAAATATATTTTTAATATCATTTATTCCAGTGATTGTGAAGCTGAATATTCAGTATCACTATACATACAGAATCTGTATCGTACAGAAATGATTCAATTATTCTTATTATAAATTAAATTGTGAAAACATGTTTTTAGGATTCTTTGATGAATACAAAGTTTGAAAGAACATATTTAAAAAAAAACTAATATTTTGCATAATTTTAAATTACTCCTACTTATAATCAATTTAACAGTTTTATTTCCTGTAAAATTATATTTCTAACTTTAAAGATTTGAATGTCATCACTATGAAAATATTATTGAAAGACTTTCCATTTCACCATTCCTTTCTGTCCTTCTCTCTATAAACAGGCTATGGAGCGCTTTCAGAGTTACCCTCCTTGGGCAATAGTCATGTGCTTTGCTCTGATCATTGTGGCCATGCTTCCTCTCCCACTGGTCTTTATTGCCCGCCACTTCAACTGGCTCCCAGATGGCTCCAACAAGCTGTCCGTCTCCTACCGCAAGAGCCTGGCAAAAGAGGCTTCCACCCTGGAAGACGAGACGCGGTTCATCCTCGGCAAGAACCCGAGTGAAGCCCCCTCTCCCATGCCAAGCCACCGGGCGTATCTGGGCCCTGGCAGCACCTCTCCGGTGGAGCTCATCACAAACTCCACCTCCATCAGCGGCTACGGCAGCGGCTACCAGACCAACCCCGCTCCTCCCAAATCTGAGTCATGATCCTTTAAACCACCAACCAGAGACTGAGACGGAAAGACGAGAAGGTCCTAGTGTTGCTCACACCTTAACCCAAAGACAAGAGAAGACACTGAGATCCTGCCGTATTCCCTGACTGGACAGCTTCCAATGGGCCCAATAATTCATACGGACTACAGATGCTGGTCTGAAGGTGAAAAAAAAAAAAAAAAAAAAAAAAAAGAGTCTGGAGCTTTCAGATCAGGGTTTAAGGTGACGTATTTGGCAAGTTATTTATGCGTATAGATTTAAAAAAAATGTAAACACTAAGAAAGTCATGATAACATTCAAGCGAATGTTACCGGTCAGTCGCTCAGGTTAAGGTGTTACCAATGCTGCTGAACTCCAGACATCTTACAAATTGTGCAGGATAAAAGAGGCCATGCAAGGAATTCCATTCAAACCCACCTTTACAGTTCATAAAGGGAGACGGCTAGTTATAATGAGCCTACTAGAGGATACAATGCAAGCATCACTGTTAAATACAGACCACGTGACAGTAGAGAGAGAACTGATAGCTTGATTTTGGTTACAGACTGAAGTACATGTTCAAAGTGTTTCTTGGTTTATAGACTTTGCACATCAACGGTCTGTCACGTCCACATCTCACCACAGGAGGGCGATGTACATGTATTCATAAACCACACACGTACTGTAGTCTCAGTGCAGTATATCAAGTATATACAGTATCAGTGTCAGGCTGTTGTTGAATTTATGGATCATTTTTGGAAGGTTTTATCTAGATGTTTTTATTTTTGTAATCTACTAAAATGTCACTGCCTGACAAAAGGTGAAACAGCACAAGAAAAAAACTACGAGTTTAGGATGCAATAAGGGTTATTGTTTGAGCAGGGAAAACTCCACCAGGCACAATAACTTAATAAATACCACACGAAATAAACATTTAAAAATATTAGTTAATTTCCATTTCTGCACTGGCAATAATAGTGATGAAATGAGTGGCATTAGCTGCTATTATAAGCTTGTTATTGCACCCCAGATCTTGTGCGAGACTACAGTAGCATATATGATAAAATTACATACAATTATTTTAAGAAAAACATAAAGATTGCAAACAGGGAATCATATTTATAAACTTAAAGCCACAAAACATTTAAACAACTATTAGGTGGTGTTTGCTTGTGATTTACAATATAAAAGCCAATGATTATTTTGATATAGAGCACAATAGAAGCATTTGACCCTTGTTCAACACTGCTTGCTTTCAAACTCGCTGTAAAATTACAGACACAGATAAGATATCAATGAAAATTGAATGTATAAAGAATATATAAAGTGGTAATCTGTGTGAATTTCACTGAGGTATTGTAAGGATTTGCTGAAAAAACACATTTCGACCACTTATATAGCATACATATGGCCTCATAATTTTAAACACTACTGTTCAAAAGTTTGGAGTCACTTTTTAAAAAAGAAACAAATACTTTATTCTGCATGTATCCATTCAGTTGATCAAAAGTAAAGGTATGAAAATAAAGCACACCTGGTTTAATTAAATTACAAGCAATATCACACGAGTAGCATTGTGATATTACTGTACTGTATATTAGCACTGCTACTTGTGTGATATTGCGTTTATAAAACAGTTCGACAGCATAATTGTGTTAAAAAAGAAAATCAAATACGGAGAGTCTCAAAAACTCTTTTGTGGGAGAAACTACTTTCTTCCGCCATTCATTCACATCTGCAGCTGACGTTAGAACAGCAGAAACCGTTGCTAATTCACCAACGTCACTTTGGTGTTTAAACTAGTATTTGAATGATTCTCTAACGTAATGTCTAAAGTGATGACAAAACAAGTGATTTTGCTCACATTTTAGGTTTATAAAACTACTGCATGAAACGGCATGAAAAAACGGCATGAAGTGCCATCAGTCTAAAAAGGTTTCCCAGTATTTCTCTGTAGCAATCAGAATATCACAATAATTAACCTACAGTAGAAAAAGCCAAAGCAAAGCACACACCACCAGTTTCTGTGGTATAAATACAGCGCCACAACATACAAAAGAGAATCAGAATGTCTATTACACAATTTATAATGATTTGTTCAGCTGTAGTTTGAAACTTGCGCTGAGAAAATGCTGTTTTTCTCCTCTGAGGACTTATTATGCAGTCTCTGCCGCCATCTTGTGGCAGTACATCAACCGTCACTTTCTTTGGTTTGCTCAGACAGGCTGATGGCGGCCGATGCACTGAATCTAATGCTCCTAAATTATAAATATTTTAAAATAGTCACTATGCTTATAAATAAACTGCATAGTTGCAATCTAAATAACTACATTCTCGGCAAAAAGCCTCAAAAGTACATTATGTTGTCCAACAGCACCAATATTTGTCAAACTGTAGAGTGTTCTCAGCTTGTCGCTGTATGTGGGCGGAGTAATACACAAAGGTGACGGGTGAAGAGGCTATACGAGTGCTGTTATTTGCAGAAAAATCGCACAGCTATCTGCCAATCAGATTCATGAGCCAGACAGAACTGTTGTAAATACACACACACACACACACACACACACACACACTTATTTTGAAATATAGTAGTTTTACTGTTTTCTTGTCAAATGTATAAAACAATTTATTGCCAAAAATGACCCAAACTTTTTAACAGTAGCATGTTTTTTTTTTCTTCTGCCAAATGAAATGTCATGATATTTGTGCATTCTCTCTAAAAAGCTGCAATACATATAAAAGAAATGGAGTATAAAAAGTTAAATCGTAAAATTAGTTTAAAAATAGAACGAAAAACAACCTTGTATGGAAAAAGCAGATGCATGTACTTATAAATTACTATGTTGAGCTGGAAGACAAGGACCATTTTCTTTGAGGAACCAAAGTATAGTCTTGGTTTGTGTAATGTGTAGTCCCTTTATGTGTACTGTCGAGTGAATACTATGAAGACTGCCTGACGTGATTGAGATCTGCTCACTGCCCAATAATGTGCAATCTTAAACGTGATTTATCTTTTATTCTGTTTTATTTGCTCTTAACAGACACTCTGAACCTAATGAAAGAGGCTCGCTTACAGTATTTATTCGAGTAAGAATAGATTCAGGGAGTAGAAGAGGGCTGGAGAGCAGAGGAAAGTGTGGAACAAGAGTTGTGGGTCTTATTGAGTGCAACGGCAATGCTTTTGATCATCCAGCTGCTTGTAGCTTTTGCATCCATCACAAAGACTGCTGAGGTAAAAATAGATACGGACTAGGCTGGTTACCCAGGGGAACCTGTGTCAGAAACAGCACGGCTGCATGTTAATGAATTCTCCGTTTGTGAGTGTGTGTGAGTGTGTGTTGGGAGGAGACTTCGAAATGTTCCTATAAGGGCCTTGTAGTATCCTTAGCAACCGCTGCATTTTACAACAAGGGGAAAATAATTTAAAGGGACCATTCACATTTAATCTAACATTCTGCTGCATTTAAATGCAACCAAATACTCCATTAAATGACGTATGAACAAGATGCCTCGTTTTGTTCAGGGTGTAGGGCATTATTATTGCTACACTGAAAATAAATGATTCAAAGATGATTCCTTGGATGTTTAAGTTAAGTGGTTGTAAACAATTTGTTTGTTTAAATTTAGCCCAAAAAAATTAAGTTGAACATTACCAAATTTAATTTGTTTAAACTCAACACACAAAATGTTTGCAACTATAATTTTTTCCCAGTGTAGATAGCTACATAGGCAGCACTGCACAAAGCTTTATATAGCCTACCTGTCATTTGCTGGAACAAATATTAAAGGCCTAGTTCATCCAAAAATGAATATTCTGACACTGACATTTACTCACCCTTCACTTGTGCAAAACCTATTTGTGTTTTTCCTTCTTCTGTTGAACACAAAAGAAGATGTTTTGAAGTAGCTGGCATTCCTTGACTTCCATAGGTAACTTTTGTCGGTGGATGACAGCAACCAGCATTCTTCAAAATATCTCTTATTGTGTTCAACAGAAAAATTCAAAAAGGGTGATAACCACCTGAGGGAGAATAAATGATGAGGTACTTTATTTATTTTTGGGTGAACTATTCCTTTAAGAAGGAGGAGTATTCTCCAGAAGCTTCAGAAACATTGGAAAAGTCTGTATTCATGTCAAGCGCGCATATCAAAGGATCAAATTCAATTTGAAAACTTAAAACACTATGTTTGGATTCATCAATCAGGATGAATTTATACCAACCGAAACAAAAAAATGTTCATGTACACATAGCCACTCATGTCACTCCACACCGCTATGACTCTATTGCTTCTATGGGACATAAAATATGAATTCATTTAGGAATATACTGGGTGCTGTTTTCTGTCCATTGAAAATGAGGATTGGAACTGTAAGCTTAAAAGTAGACCAAAAATTATCAGAAAAGCAGTGCAAGTTCCTTTAATATTCTTGAAAGAACAGACATACGTTTGAGAGAAGCCAATAGTAATGCTTGTGTGATGTTTCGGAACTTGATGACCATTTCCATTCACATTCATTGTTAAAACTAATGTCTTAAACACATTTCCTTATGTGTTAATATTCGAAATTAAGTTACAATTGGTTAATGATTTTAAAGTAACCCAAAGGTAACTGTGTGCTGCCATTCAAGACCTAGGAGACATTTTTAAAGCCAGGCTAAACTAATGTGATGTGCATTGAGTCTGCCTTCATCACAGTCAGATGAGAATGTCAAAAGAGCACATTTACTCGCGTCAGCACAAATGCACCGTTTTGTTTGTTGTAGTTGGGTAGTTGTCCAACGTGTGGTAAAAGTACAATAATTTAAGTGTTGCTCCTTGCAATAGCACAAGATTGTCCACAAGATGTCGACGTTTGCTGTTGATTAGTGTGTTGAAGGTGTGTCTCTGTCTCTGAGTTGAACATGCTCTCTCTTTCTCTCACACACACACACCCCTCCTCTGAGCACAGCTGGTGCCTCTCATTATGGCGTACACTCTGATGATTAATGTGAAACATATATTGTTTGTTTTGTTGTTTGCTTGTGGCACTTTTGTTTTTGTGCACTTTACCTTCTCTCCGCAAGGGGCCCCAGAGCTGCACCTCAAGCACAATCACTAGGAGTTTTTATTTTTAAATAAGCCATTTAAAGTTATATCTGTTTTTAGTTAAAATAATCTAAAAGCTATATTTAAATGTGAGCAAAACAAACAAACTAA